ATCTAGGGCCTCAAGCATACAAGAGGTCTTCGGTGGAAGTTCAGTGAAAAAACTATGCATGGGTTTAAAAATATCTTTGCACCACAATAAACTTACATTTAAATTCAGGGGCCAGGCAGTGGCATGGTGGTTAAGGCAGGTGGATCCCACATGGCTAGCTACGTGGTTCAAGTTCAAGACTCAGAGGCTTAAGAAACACACTGTGTGTGTGTGTGTGTGTGTGTGTGTGTGTGTGTGTGTGCATGTCCAAAATTCTGAAAGGAGAAATAGAGGACACGAGATTATAGTATGATCATCCCTGTGGAGGGGTGCTTTCTTACTCCGCTGCCACAACTCTCTTTCTCTCTAGCGAGCATACTAACATGTTTTTTAAAAATGAAAACAAACAAAATAAACATTTTCGCACTTTATATGTTAAGTATGAGGGTCAGCAGGTGGTGTAATGCTTAAGGCCCTAAACTCCCGTGGCCAACCGCAGTTCAAGTCCCAGACCTGGCGGTTTGAAAATCACCCCTGTCATGTGGGCCAGCATGCCCAAAATCTGGAGAGGACAATGGAGGAGAAATGAGTGTGGGGCATGGCTATGCCTCCCGGCGGGGGCAGGGGGCATTTGTCATTTTTCCTCTCTCCGAGCACCCGTGCCCTATAGCAAAAACCTTTACCAAAAAAAAAAAAGGTTAAGGATGCATCTGGATATTACTCTGTGCACTTGACCATGTGATTCGTCAACAGTCCTTGGAACAAGGTAGATGAGGCATGTGTGTGTAGATAATAAAATCACTTACATATACGTATTAGATACACATTATTTTAAAATCTTATAAATAGAGCAACTACGGGCTGGCAGTTGGCATGGTGGTTGAGGTGCTGGACTCCCACATGGCCAACCATGGTTTGAGTCCCAGACCTGGAGGCTTGCTTTCATACTTTCCCTTTCTCTCTCTCTCTGGTCAAATTAAATAATAATGAAAATAAATGAAATAAAATACCTAAAAAAAAAAAAAATAGAGAAACTAGTTGTTAGTTTCCCAAGATCACACAGCTCCTAAGAGTGCCCTACCCCAAGGTCTGACTCTGTCTGATTCAACCACAATTTTTTTTCTAAGAATTATTCATTTAATTCTATTTGTTAGTATTATTTTTTAAAGTTTGACTAGAGAGAAAGAGGAAGTGAGAAAGCAAGCCTGACCAGGTCCAGGACTCAACTCATGGTCAGCCATATGGCAGTCCAGTGCCTCAACCACCACTCCACCTGCCAGCCCCCACCGTTTTCTTGTTTACTATATGACAAACACTGTGTTAGGCACTGCAGTTAGAAGGCACAGCTGTCAGCCCAAAGGAATTTAGTGATAGGTATTCTGATAGAGCCAGTACTCTGTCTCATGAGGGAGCACTTTTAACTTAGTCCAAAAGTTTAAGAAAGCCTCCTCAGAGACTAACCTCCATATACTGATGGGAACATCTCAGTAGAGCTTATTGAAGACATAATTGTTTGGGGGTACAGAATTCAACTCAGTCACATATGAATCAGATGAAAATCAGAGTAAGATATGATGAGCAATAGGCCAATAGGTAGCATAGTTTTTATACCACTGGATTTACACATGACCAACCATGGTTCAAGTCCCAGACCCCATGGCTTGAAAATCGTGCTGGGTGCATGTGCATGTATGCCCAAAATCCCAGGGAGACAATGAAGGAGAAGGGATTGCAGTGTGACCATCACGCCTTGGGAGTGATTTCCCACTTTCTCTCTCACTATCTCTGCCTCTTTCTGGTGAACGTATGCACCCTATGGCAAAAACCTTTAAAAAAAAAAAGATGTAATTCATGATAAATAAAACTAGCAGGAACAACCTGGCAAAATTAACTTATCTAAGGGGAGATTATTTCCTGATTGTAGAGATTTTCTTATTTAGCTAGTATAATATTTCTCTTATCTTTTAGACATATTATGTATGTATTCAGTCTCAAATTTAGGTACTTAATAGAGCAAACTTTTATGTTATTTTCTTCTTATTCTTTTTTGAGAGGTTTTTGCTATAGGGTGCTTGCACTCACCAGAAAGACAGAAAGCAAGAAATCACCCCCCAGGAGTGATGGCCACACCGCAATCCCTAATCCTCCATTCTCCTCTCAGAATCTTGAGCACTTATGCACATGCGCCCAGCGTGAGTTTAAGCCACTGGGTCCGGGACTTGAACTGCAGTCGGCAACATGAGAGTCCAGCAACATAGCCATTATGCCAACTGCTGGTCCCATTATTTTATTCTTTAAGTCTGTCAGATTTGCTGTATGTGGTGGTACACACCTGTGGTCCTAGTTATTTGTGATACTGGAACAGGAAGATCAGGAATTTGAGGCTAGCTTAGGCAATGTAGCAAGACCATATCTCAAAAATAAATAAAAACAAAAACAAACAAACAAACAGAAAGAATATATTTTTTGCCCAAACAAGGATAATGTGTGTTATACATCAAAATAAATAAGTACAAGGACCAGCAGATGGCGTAATGGTTACATCGCTAGACTCCCACTCTCACTGGATGTGTATGCCTGCATCTCCAAAATCCGGAGAGGAGAATGGAGAAGGGATTACGGCCTGGCCATCCCTTCTGAGGGACAATTCTCGCTTTTTGTGTCTCTCCAGTGAGTGCACACACCCTACAGCAAAAATCTTTCTCTAAAAAGTACAGGGGCTAGCAGGTGGTGTCATGGTTAAGGCATTGGATTCCCATATGACTGACTGTGGTTCAAGTTTTGGACCCAGTAGCTTGAAAATCATGCCAGGCATGTATGTGTGGGTACCCAAAATCCCAAGAGGAAAATGGAGGATAAGGGTTTGCAGTATGGCCATCCCTCTGGGGCATGATTTTTCACTTTCCCTCTCTCCAGTAAGTATATGTGTCTTATGGCAAAATAAAAAAAAGAAACTAAAATAAATAATAACAAATAAACAAGTATAAAAAATTCAACCAAAAATAAAGATTTAAACAAATTTTATTGGGACCAACAGATGGCATAATGGTTACTTTGCTGGACTCCCACATAGTTAACCACTGTTTGGGCACCAGAGCTGGCAACTTAAAATTCATGCTGGATGCATGTACATACATGCCCAAAATCCCAAGAGAGAAGAGACTGATGCGTGGCCATCCCCTTGGGGGAGTGAATTCTCACTTTCTGTCTCTCTGGCAAGCACATGCACCCTATATCAAAAATCTCTCTCAAAAAAAAAAAAAAAAGCGAACTTTATTCATTCTTGATTGTATTGTCTTGATGTTTTCGTAATTCTGCCCCAGGGTCTAATGGCTATTGATTGTCCCTATACTGGCATCGTGGACTATCGGCAGGTGGCTTTGTCATTTGCTCAGGATTTTCAAGAAGCAGGTGGCTCTGTCTTGACCAATTTTGAAGTAAAAGGTATTGAAATGGCTACAGAAAGCCCTTCAAGAAGTAAAGATGGTAAGCCATCCTTGTCTTTTCTATTGAACATTTATACTGACTTTTTTGAACATTTGGGATAATTTTTGTGTAGGATAGTGCTGGTGGGAGGGCCATCGGGAGCTAGGCTAGAATAGGGTGCAGAGCCAGAGGTACGTACAAGAGGGACAAAGGTGAGACTGGATATGGGAGAATCAGGATTCCTGGAGGATCTTGTGCTGATAGATATAGGCATTGATCAGACACATCGGACTAATGTAAAAATCTGAACTTCCAAGGATGTTTATAGAAAATTAGCCCCTGAACACTTCCTGACCCTGCAGGTTAGAGTCAGAATCTCTTGACAATGCTTGTTTAAAATGCAGATTTTAGATCTAGCTACCACAGCTCATGCTTATAGATGCTACTATTTGGCAAACAGAGACCTGAGGTCAAATCCCAGCCCTTCCTAAAAGCTAGGTTTACTTGTAGTCCCAGGCACTTAGGGCTGAGGCAGGAGGATTGCAACAAAGCAAGACCCTGTCTTAGAAAAAAAAAGGAATGCAGATGTTTTTAAGCATCACTCAGACCCACTGAATCAAGACTGTCCAGGGACAGGATCTAGGAATAATAAGGCTTTCGTGATTTTTGGTTACACGCAAGTTTCAGCCCAATGTCATTAAATGACTCAACCATTTTGAACTTCTCTCCCCATTCCATTTTTAGACTGCACTTAGAATTTGTTTTGTTTACTTTGAGGACATTTTTTTTTTAACCAAATGGAAGATATGTATACTTACTATTTGCTATTGGGAAATTCAAAGTAGAAAAAAAGTAGGACTCAATTCTTTCTTCTTTGACAGAAGGAAGACCTCCTTAGGAAGATCTGGGCTATCTGAATCGTTCTCTATTGTCCTAAATTCTAAGATGAAGAGAAAAATTGTTAAATAATTAGGGTTGTTTTAAGTAGGTATCATGATGAACCAGATTTATGATACAGGTAGATAGATTGTACTCCTTTTTTGTTATGCATATATGCTCGATAAGACCTAGTGACAGTGGGGCTAGCAGGCGGCATGGAAGTTAAGGAACTGGATCCCACATGGCTGACTCCTTAGCTCAAGTGTCAGACCTAGCGGCTTGAAAAATGTGCCAGGCACGTGTGCGCACATGCCGCAGATCCCAAGAGTAGGATGTAGGAGAAGGGATTGTGGTGTGACCATTCCCCTGGAAGATGATTTCGTACTTGCTCTTCTCTGTCTCTCTTTGGCAAGTACAAGTGCCCTACGGCAAAAATCTAAAAAAAAAAAAAAAAAAAGAAAGGAAGAAAAAGGCCTACTGATAGTATTATCTGAGAGGGAGCTGGTTTTATAAATGGTCCCTTTGTTATTGGAAGTTTTTGTGTTGTGATAACTTGCTTTTCTAAACAATCTAAAACCTGCAAGGAACCAGGTAACCAAAATTTCTCATATCATAGCTTTAGTCCTGTGGGGAAATGCGTACTGATTTATGGTGAGCCATTGTACAGCATCATTTCTAGGACTGTCATTCAGAGAAAAGCCGAGACTGTCTATTTGAACCTGAGGTGAGGAATGGTTTATAAGCATTTATTAAATGAGTTGTGATGGAACATGGTACGGGCTAGGGCTTAAATATTGTCGATATGAACCAGTTTATATTGGTGAAAAAAAAATTTGGAATGAAAGGTAGGGTGCAATCCTGGATATGACAGAAGAAAGTCATTTTAATGTGTTACTAGTATAGTATTTCAAATAATATTGACCTTCTTTTGCTAAACATAATTTTGTTTTGCCAATTCTGTGTTTTACAGGGATGAAATATCCGATTGTTATAAGGAATACAAAGGTAAAGATTAAGCAAAACTATTGTCTTTTTTTTTTTTTTTTTTTGGAGAGGTTTTTGCTATAGGGCGCGTGTGCTCGCCAGACAGAGAGAGAGAGAGACATAGAGACAGAAAGCGAGAAATCACCCCCCAGAGGGGATGGTCACGCCGCAATCCCTTCTCCATTCTCCTCTCGGGATCTTGGGCACGCACGCACACGCGCCCGGCGTGAGTTTAAGCCACTGGGTCTGGGACGCGAACCGTGGTCGACTACGTGGGAGTCCAGCGACATAGCCATTACGCTAACTGCTGGTTCCCACTATTGTCTGTTTTTATCTCCTCCCTTTCTAAAATAGTTGAATAAATCCACAGTGCTATATTTTAAGTCATTGAATGAAGTTTCTCTAATGTAAATGGGAGAAATTTATTTAGAGCAATTTAACAACTTCTATTCAACGAAGGAATGAATAAAGGGGCTTCATATAGGAGCTGTGCTGGCAAAGACCAGGATTAGAAGCGCTTGCATGTTTAATTTTAAGGCAGACGAATACATGCCTATTTTTCTCTTTACTGATTTACATAAACTATCTACTAATTAGAAGAGCTTGTGAGGCATGCAAAGTGTGCAGAGGAAAAGGACTGCTTTTCTTCACCTTCACATAGTCCTAAGCAAGAACCACAGAGTGGCATGGAAGCCTTAGATGCCCTATATGTTCACTATATGTTCAGTCGGGGGAGCGGAGTCACAGCTGAGTGTTTGAGGAATTCAGAAATAGAAATTCATATGGGAGTTGGTGGATCAGAGGTTCTCCAACCAGTCTGTAAAGTCAAGTATCTAGCTTCTGAAGTTGGGCCAGAGAGAGAGAAAGCGAGAAATCTCCCCCCAGAGGGGATGGTCACGCCGCAATCCCTTCTCCATTCTCCTCTCGGGATCTTGGGCACGCACGCACACGCGCCCGGCGTGAGTTTAAGCCACTGGGTCTGGGACGCGAACCGTGGTCGACTACGTGGGAGTCCAGCGACATAGCCATTACGCTAACTGCTGGTTCCCACTATTGTCTGTTTTTATCTCCTCCCTTTCTAAAATAGTTGAATAAATCCACAGTGCTATATTTTAAGTCATTGAATGAAGTTTCTCTAATGTAAATGGGAGAAATTTATTTAGAGCAATTTAACAACTTCTATTCAACGAAGGAATGAATAAAGGGGCTTCATATAGGAGCTGTGCTGGCAAAGACCAGGATTAGAAGCGCTTGCATGTTTAATTTTAAGGCAGACGAATACATGCCTATTTTTCTCTTTACTGATTTACATAAACTATCTACTAATTAGAAGAGCTTGTGAGGCATGCAAAGTGTGCAGAGGAAAAGGACTGCTTTTCTTCACCTTCACATAGTCCTAAGCAAGAACCACAGAGTGGCATGGAAGCCTTAGATGCCCTATATGTTCACTATATGTTCAGTCGGGGGAGCGGAGTCACAGCTGAGTGTTTGAGGAATTCAGAAATAGAAATTCATATGGGAGTTGGTGGATCAGAGGTTCTCCAACCAGTCTGTAAAGTCAAGTATCTAGCTTCTGAAGTTGGACCGCAAATGGGAAGCCCCTGAGGAGATCTGTGAGACGCTCTTACCTTTGTGTCTACACCCAAGTAGTGGGCTATAGCAGCTCTTGGTCAGTAGGGTCAGTGGTGGGCAAACAGAATTGGATGTGGGTGCTGGAATTCACTGGGTGTCTGCTCTGTCACCATGTTGGACTGGGATGACCTTCAGAGAATAATGGCTACTGCTTTATTTCTGCCAGATCATATGCACTTCCTGTTTTGGTCAATTTTAAATTGGAGCGAAACAGAGAGGGCATTCTGTTAAGCGTAACTCCCAGCTTAATGAAATTGACACAGTACAAACCCGTGTAGTCCATCCCTTCTCAAACTTGGCATCCATATATACCCCTTGTACCCAGGTTTAGTTTCCAAATTAAGGCAGTAGTAAAATTACGCTTCGACCTACCAATGTGTAATTATCCCTCATACAATGAAAAACCTGCTAATTCTCCAAAAAATTACAATGGCCCCTCTACCTATCTTTGGATGATGTTCATTCTTTTCTAGCTGAGTCACACTCCCACTTTGAGATCCTAACAGCTTAAAGACTGAGATTTAAAGGTTAACCACTGTGTCAACATCTTATAACATATTAAAAAAGTAGTTCTCAGTTGGAGATGATTTTGCTCCCCAGGGGACATTTGACAATATCTGGAGACATTTTTGGATTTCGTAAATGAGATGGGGTGGTAGTGCTACTGGCATTTAGTGAGTAGAGGTCTGCTGCTAAACATCCTTTCATGTGAGAAACAAGTATCCAAAACAAAGAAATGTCCAGCCCTAAATGTCAAAAGTACCGAGGTAGAGAAATGCTGTGTTAGATGACGGAGAAGGTCGAAATACATGCCTTGATCTTCTTGTACTGCCATAATAGTACCACACACTGAGTGACCTAAACAACAGAAATTTATTTTCTCAGTTTTGGAGGCTCTAAGTTCACGTCACAGGGCTGGTTTCCAGTGAGGTCGCTCCTCCTGGTGTGTAAATAGCCACCTTCTCACTGTGCCCTCACATGGCCTCTTCTCTGCGCATGAACAGATAAATAGACAATGGTCTTTGATGTCTTCCTCTTCTTTCAAGGACACCAGTCCCATTGGATTAGGGCCTGCCCTTATCATCTCACTTAATCTCAGTTACCTCCCTATAGGCCATCCTTCCAAATGAAGTCACATTAGAGTTAGGGTTTCAATATATGAGTTTGGGGGGTAGGGCAGATAACGCAATTCCATCTTTAGCAATTGGGATAAGGCAAGAGTTGGGCAATATTTAGACAAATATATTTATGTTAAAGTAAGAAAGAATATGCATAACTACTAGTATTATATTCCTCATTTCTATAATCTTGTAGTCATAGCTGACATTTATAATTTCCATTTTCCACTACCCATGCCATAGGGTCTTTGCCTTTAGTAGATATCTCAGGCAGTCATGGTCATGGTTCCTAGTTTGGCGAGGGTAAACTTTCTTTCTTTCTTTTTTTTTTGGGGGGGGGAGGTTTTTGCTATAGGGCACGTGTGCTTCCCAGAAAGACAGAGAGACAGAAAGTGAGAAATCACCCCCCCCCAGGGGGGGGCGGCCCCACCTTCCCTCTCTTTCATTCTCCTCTTGGGATCTTGGGCATACACGCACACGTGCCTGGCATGAGTTTAAGCCACCGGGTCTGGGACTCGAACTGCGGTTGAGTACATGGGAGTCCAGCAACATAGCCATTACGCCAACTACTGGTTCCCAGGGTAAACTTTCATTACTGAAGTGTGTGTGCAGTTAACAGCCTGGCCTGTTTTGGGTCATGGTAGTTTCTAGTAATTTTTATAACATTGAGAAATGTATTTTGGATTAACATTTTGCGTATTAACCTTAACCAGGTGTATGAATTGCAAATGTTTTCCCCAATACATGGGAAAATAGATGTGCCCCAGGAGATGATGTATCCCAGATGTACTCCTCTTTAGCATCCCTGAGCCCTCTTTGTGGTAGCAACTCTATTTTCTCCAGAGTTTCTTTTCCTGACCAGCTAGCCAAATTAATAGTTATGGCACATGAAGTAATATGGATATATTCTCGTCTTCTTGGTAAGATACACAACCAGATGTGGTGTTCAGAGTCCTACACTTCATCTATTGTGAAGGTTTCCCTTCACCACACTCCTCAGGAGCACCTCTGAGTAGAGTTCTAGTGCTGTATTGTTCACTTTTGAGGGGAGCCAAAGTGTTGCACAGAACCATTTGTAAATCAGACCTGTAGTTTTCTCTTTCATGGTCAACTTGGTCATAGAGAACTCCCTATTGGGCCATAGGGTTAGACTGAGTGGAGCAAGGCAAGTTAACAGGGGTAGGGGTCATGGGAACTTGAGCTCACTTTGTCTCTGCCATGTATGTGTGTCTGCAGGACCTGTATAACCCTGATCTTATGTATAGGTTGAGCTTCCCTAATCAGAAAATAGGAAATCCAAACTGCCCAAATATCTAAAACTTTTTGAATGTCAACATGATGGTACAACTGGAAAATTTCATGCCTGATGTCATCAGATGTGTTGCACTCAAAAACTGCATTATGATAGTATCTGAAATTTGGGCCAGCAGGTGGCATGGTGGTTAAGGCTCTGGACTGCCACATCGCTTACCATGGTTCAGGTTGCAAACCTGACAGCTTGTTTTCTCACATTTTCCCCTCTCTCTGGTCCTATTTAAAATAAATAAATAAATAAATAAACAAACAATAAAATAAATAATTCTTTAAAAAAATCATATGAAATTGCCATTAGGCTATGTGTGTAAGATGTATATGAACATGAATGTTGTGTAAGGTGTTTATGTACATGAATTTCCTGTTTAGACTTAGGTGCCGCCCCCAAGATAGCTCATATTCAACACTTATGGTCGCAAGCGTTTTGGATAAGGGATGCTCAGCCTGTATTACACTTCATCTTGATGACAGAATGCTGCTGTACACACCCAGTCTTGTGGCTTAGTGAGTCAGACCACACCCAGTTAATAATAGGTTGTTTACATGCTAACTTGGTGATCTGTAGTCAAGTATTCACTCAAAGAAGAAGCACTTTTTCTTTTTTTTTTTTTGGAGAGGTTTTCGCTATAGGGCGCGTGCCCTCGCCAGACAGAGCCATAGAGACAGAAAGTGAGAAATCACCCCCCGGGGGGATGGTCACGCTGCAATCCCTTCTCCTCCATTCTCCTCTCAGAATCTTGGGCACGCACGCACACGTGCCCGGTGTGAGTTTCAAGCCACGGGGTCCGAGACGTGAACCGCAGTTGACTACGTGGGAGTCCAGCGACATAGCCATTACGCTAACTGCTGGTTCCCAGAAGAAGCGCTTTCTATAGAGGATAATATCTTTCCTCCCAAATCCTAAAGTTCTCTGCTGTTGTTTGACTATAGAGGCCTATCAGAGGCTCTATAAAACATTGCGCCTATCACAGATACTTTAATTACCATCAGATCTATTGGGTCATATAGATAGCCCAAGTGGCAGAGCAAGCAGGGTTTCCACTCAGAGAAGAATTAGAAGTCTGTTTCTGTGCCTATCCTTAATCAAAGCAACATTTTCACAAGAGTGTGGTCTCACGTGAGGGAATATGTACTGGAGCCTTTGCCAGTGGGTATATATTTCACCAGGGTTAGTGTAGTTGTCTTTTTATTCTGGTATTTCTCTTTAGTATAATTATTTATTTGGGGCCAGCAGGTGGGTGGTTAAGGCACTGGATTCCCACATGGCTGACTGCAATTCAAGTCCCGGACCTTGAGACTTGCTTTCTCACTCCTCCATCACCCTGTCTCTCTCTGGTGAGTGCATGTGTCCTATAGCAAATTAAAAATAATAATATTAAATTAAATGATTTTTAAAAAAGAGTTGTTTAACTTTATATGTGTGTGTGTGTGTGTGTGTGTGTGTGTGTGTGTGTGTGTTTGTTTGTTTTTCAATTTGCTGTGGGGCACATGTACTTACCAGAGAGAGACAGAGAAAGAGAAAGTAAGAAAGTAAGTCATCAGGTCTGGGACTCAAACCATGGCCGGTCATGTGAGAGTCCAGCACCTTAACCACCATGCCATTTGCTGGCCCTGCCTTTACTATAATTTTAGGGTTCGAAGTCAGTTTTTTGGGGGTCCACTTATCAGGTTGAATATCTCTGATTTCATGAGAGGCTAGAAGAAAAGGAATTTTTGAAATGAACTTTTGGAGGGAGGATTTGCACACTAAAGACGAATACATTGAATTTTGGGGAAAAGTTTGTTTCACTTAAGAAAGAGCAATAGAAGGACCAGCAGTTGGCACAATGGCTATTTCGCTGGACTCCCATGTGGTTGTCTGCAGTTCGAGTCTTGGACCTGGTGGCTTAAACTCATGCTGGGCACATGTGCGTGTGTGCGCAAGATCCCAAGAGGAGAATGGAGGAGAAGGGATTGTGGTGTACCCTCCCTGGTGGGGGGTGATTTCTCGCTTTCTGTCTCTCTGTCTCTCTCTTTCTGGTACATGTACATGCCCTATCCTATAGCAAAAACCTCTCCAAAGAAAAAAAAAGAAAGAGCAATAGAGATTCACAGTTATTTAAAAGAAACTTATATTCGAACAAACATATTGTTTAATGTTTACCTAAATTCCAATTTGAAAGTGGAATTAATGTGTTACTAAATTCTTTTTTTTTAATATATACCATTAAATGATTTCAGAGACCGGATAGGTTTTAATCTCTCCTTGGAACTGTTGCTTGAATTTTTTTTGTTTAACAGATCCTATTTTTATCCTTACATTTATCATAAGGCTTATCTACATTTTATATTCCAAGAACAAAAGAATTGTTGACCTTTTAAGTTGGAGCTAATAGTTTATATCACATAAAAATGTATCTGGTGCTTCTTGTCTTTAACTAGGTGAACAGGAAAGATAATGACCTATTTAGAAAAAGGGTTTTGTTGATGTTATTGCTGACATTACCTTTTGACTTAAAGGGTTTAAAAACTGTAATAGTTTACTCCAACTAATTTGACTTCACTATGAAAAAATTCATAGATTTTTGTGAAAAATGTAACGTGAAAAGAGGCATAACTTTCTTCTAGTGAGGGCAAAAATAGAATACATGTAAAGATGAAATATAGTTCAGTAGAAGAAGGCTGAATCAGTGGGGGCTGGAAAGAAATAAAATGTTGAGACATGCACAAAGAAAATGTGAGAACTCCAAGGCTTCAGAAATAGGTCAGCTGGGAAGGATATCTAACAAGTTTTCTTTTTTTTTTTTTTTTTTTGGAGAGGTTTTCGCTATAGGGCGCGTGTATTCGCCAGAAAGACAGAGAGAGACAGAGAGACAGAAAGCGAGAAATCACCCCCCAGGGGGGATGGCCACGCCACAATCCCTTCTCCTCCATTCTCCCCTTGGGATCTTGGGCACGCACGCACACATGCCGGCGTGAGTTTAAGCCACTGGGTCCCAGACTCAAACCATGGTTGACTACATGGAAGTCCAGCGAAATAGCCATTACACTAACTGCTGGTCCCAAGATCTAACGAGTTAACAAGAGCAAGGAGTTGCTTGTTGTTGACTGTAGGAATAAATGGGAAACAATGGATAGGAGGGGCTCAGGAAAAACATTTAACAAATACAAGAATGGAAAGTTATCTGTTGAGGATGATATTTAAGGTGATATCTTTAACATGATTGACATGCACTCCATGGATGCTTTGAAAAACCATATTGTATGTTTTAAGGATGTACAACAATTAAATGTAAATAAGAAGTCATACAACATAAATAAATAAGAGGAGATGGGGGGACCAGGAGATGGCATAATGGTTACATCACTGGACTCCCACATAGTCGACCACCGTTTGAGGCCTGGACCTGGTGGCTTAAAACTCATGTCAACCATATGTGCGTGTATGCCCATATCCTGAGAGGAGAATGGAGGAGAAGGGATTGCAGCATGGCCATACCCACTGGGGGGGAGGGGTGTGATTTCTCGCTTTTTGTCTCTCTGGCAATCACACATGCCGCCATATAGCAAAAATGTCTAAAAATAATAGTAATAATAAAAAAGAGAAGACAGGAATTAGAGATGGTAAATGGTTATTAAATGAGTCCAAATAGAAACTAGGGTGGCAAATTGGCTAGACCTGGCAGGTTGAAGCTGAAAAGATGCAAATGATAATCACAAAATACAATTTGTGGGACATCATAACAGCCTAAGATTAGCAGTGTCCCATTCATTAAAGCAGACCTTGACTATGGTGTGTGTTTTTGCTAAATGTGGATTGAATTAATGATATTTCTAAAGCAGCCTCAGTTTGCAAGGTAGACCTTGAGCAGGAAGGAGAAACTGGGTGTTGGGTAGATTACAGTGGAATTGAGCAAGATTGTTACGTGTGAAGCAACTCAAGAGTAATTACCCAAATAAGACAGGAGAAGCTGTTTGAGATACGGAGGAAGCCAGTGTTTTGCTGATACTTGCACTAAATTTTCTTTATTTAGAAAGAAGAAAGGTCTGTTTCTATACCCTTATTTACTCTCGTTTGTTTTCTCCCTCTTAACCTATTCTTTTTTCCGTACAGATCACTGTTCTTTTGTTGTGCACTAGGGAGAAGAGATTCGATGTCAGTATGTTGTGACATGTGCAGGGCTTTACTCAGATCGTATTTCAGAGTTGAGTGGCTGCAATCCAGACCCTCGAATTGTACCATTCCGGGGAGATTACCTGCTCTTGAAGCCTGAAAAATGCTATCTTGTAAAAGGAAATATTTACCCGGTAGGTAATGATACAGCTGCCTTCTCACTCTTCTTAAGCTGGTTGTGAGCATAAAGGGAATCAAACACTTTTGCCTGGTCAGAGGTAAGAGCGAATTTGAAGGAGCATTTGTGGAAGCATTTCATCTGTTTTTCTCTAGTGGTTAAATACCTAAAATTTTATCAATTGCTTGATTGTTAAAGGGTGCATGCACTCTCCAGAGAGAGAGAAAAGGGAGAAAGCACCCCCCAAGTGGGAAATGATCATGTCACCATCCTTTCTTCTCCATTTCTCCATCCTGTTGAGATTTTGGGTACAAACATGTATGTGCCCAGTGTGTTTCTCAGGCCTTCAGGGTTGGGTTTCCACCACCACTGGCCATGTGGGATCCAGCTCTCTTAATCTTTAGGGTAGAGGGCTGCCCATAAATCTCTCAATCTTTATTCAGATGTCATGGTCATTAAATTATAATTAAATGCCTGCAAAGACTTGTCTCTAAAAAGTACGAGTGCACCATGCGAAGTGCTATCAAGAAGGAACTGGACTTTTCCTTCTCTCCAGTAGAGGGAGCACTATTAAGAGAAATTTTCCTATGGAAGTTCCAGGTACTCAGCCTTCTTTCTCAGTTTATCATCTATAGGTGCAGAAAAAGGATATGGTCATTCTAGTTTCAGGAAAAAGACAGAGGTATTTAAATGAAGAGTTCATTCCTCTGTCTAGAACTACTCTGGAATTGAATGAACCCCTTAAAATACGTTAGCTTCAGCCAAATAAAATCGCTAATATTCAACTATTTGATAATGTTAGCCACCTTGTTAAAATATTAAAGTTATCTGTTTCAATCTTACACATTCCCATTTTATAAAAGCCTGAGCTATGATATATATGTTTTCTGGAAGCTCTTACTTAAAATTTTTAAAAATAATTTATTTATTAGGTTTTTGCTACAGGATGCATGCACTTACCAGAGACAGAGGGACAGAACGTGAGAAATCATTCCCTGTGGAGATAGCCACACCACCATCCCTTCTCCTCTGTTCTCCTCTTGGAAATTTTGGGCACGCATGCACATGCACCCAGCATGATTTTCAAGCCACCAGATCCAGGACTTAAACCACAGTTGGCCATGTCAGGGTCTAGCACCTTAACTACCACCCCACCTGCTGGATCTGGCAGCTCTGATTTTACTTGCCAGTCACAGACATTCCTAGTTGTGTGGAGAGGGAGAATAACTTTTTTTAAAAGAATTATTTTATTTAACTTTATTTTTTATTAGTACTTTCCATTTTGATCAGAGAGAGACAGAGAGAGAAAGAGAGAGAAAGTGAAAAAGCAAGCCACCAGATTTAGGACTTGAACGGTGATCAGCCATGTGGAAGTCCAGCACTTTAACCACCAAGCCACCTGCCAGCCCCGAGAGAGATAATAACTTGAATAGGACAATTCATCTTTTTGTTTTCTTTGTCCAGAAAGACAGACAGATGGGATACTGTATATTAGAGTCAACAGGATCAGTGTTTCCCTTATGGCATGTTTAAGCAGAAGCATGTAAATAGAAAAGTATATTTCAGTATAACTTACAAATCAGGTGCATTCTGGGGCCAGCAGGTGGCTTGGTGGTTAAGGGTGCTGGACTCCCATATGGTTGACTGCAGTTTGAGTCCCAGACCTGGACTTGCTTCCCTCCCCGCTACCCCCCCGGTCAGATTGAAATAACTAAATGAATGAATAAATAAAGTTAAATAAAATAAGTTTTAAAAATTAGGTGTACATAAAGAAATAGTATTATATATTACTAATGGGATGTTTGTATCTGTTATAAAATGGAATGTGAAATGGGGCTAATAGTTCTTTGCTCTGTTAAATCCACAGGTCCCAGATAGCCGGTTTCCTTTCCTAGGAGTTCACTTCACACCAAGGATGGATGGCAATATTTGGCTAGGCCCTAATGCAGTTCTTGCCTTTAAACGGGAGGGTTACAGACCCTTTGACTTCAATGCCAGAGATGTTATGGATGTAATTATCAATAGGTAACAACTTAAGCAATTATTTTCTTATGTTCATATTCTTTTTCTCTGTTTTTTTTTTTTTTTTAAAGAGGCTTTTGCTATAGGACACGTGCACTCACCAGAAAGAGATAGACACAGAGACAGAAAGCAAGAAATCACCCCTCCCCCCCAGGGGGATGGCCACACTGCATTCCCTTCTCTTCCATTCTCCTCTCAGGATCTTGGGCACGCACGCACACATGCCCGGCGTGAGTTTAAGCCACCGGGTCTGGGACTCGAACCGCAGTTGACTATATGGGAGTCCAGCAATGTAGCCATTATGCTAACCGCTGGTCCCAGCAATCTAAATCCTATATTGCTAACTTTCTAATTGAGTCTGAAGAAAGGGGGAAATAAGCGTTATCTCAATATCAGTAGATGGCATTTCTAGACAGTCACCATCATTTGCAAGCCACCAGGAGAAAATGCTGATGACCAAGTTGTTTCCTTAGGTGGGAAAGTATTAATAGTACTGTGTTGACCTAGGATACAGATTTACTATTTTAAGAAATAACTCAGTTGTTGGGTCCTTTTAGTCATACAACTCCAAAGGGTTTCGTATCAGAATCACTAGAAAGCTTTTTAAACTGTAATTGGGTTTCCCCTTCCACAGATTCTGAAACTGAAAGTTTAAGATGTGACTTCCTAATGTGCACACTTGTGAAAATATATACACACACAGGGACCAGCAGTTAGCATAATGGCTATGTTGCTGGACTCCCATATAGTCAACTGCGGTTCGAGTCCCAGACCCGGTGGCTTAAACTCATGCCGGGCACGTTTGCATGTGTGCCCAAGATCCTGAGAGGAGAATAGAGGAGAAGGGATTGCGCCCCTCGCTTTCTGTCTCTTATCTCTCTTTGTCTCTCTGGCGAGTGCACGCACCCTATAGCGAAAACCTCTCAAAAAAAAAAAAATACACAAAGGCTTTGCAGAATCTCACTGCCGCAGTACTTCACCTCTTGCTGACTAAAGAAATTTAGGGCGGATGTCCCACTTATCTTAAAGATCTGTTAATACCTTTTAAGTATGTTGAAAACATATAACATTTGCATTAGAAAGCTTCGATGTTGGCAAACTTTATAGAATCCCAGTTTGAAACCAGTAACTCCTTGGGAATTTGAGTTTGGAAAGTGTTACCTTTAGAGTTAATGAGATTTCCTTTTCTCATTGGCTGAAAGTTGGTTTATTTGAGTAAATATGTAGCTTTTCTGATTTTACCTAGAAAGTAGGTAAAAAAAACCCAAAAAACAGAAAAAAACCCCACAACCTAGTAGTTGCACAGATGTTTCATAATAATAAAGAATTCTTTTCTCTCAGAAAGATGATTTTTTCTTTGCTTTCAGTGGCTTGATTAAACTGGTGTTTCAGAATTTATCCTATGGAGTCAATGAAATGTATAAAGCCTGTTTCCTTAGTGCGACAGTGAAGTACCTTCAAAAGTTCATCCCTGAAATCACTATCAGTGATATACTTAGGTAAGGAGGAGTGATAAGGGCTAATCCAGTCCTGACCGAGGTGAACTTGGGAGGTGGGTCTGGTGCGGTCATTCCAGGCACGTTTTCAGGGTCAGTAGGTGTGTCCACTGACTCTCCTTGCTCTTTCCCAATGAATTACTGAGTTCCCTTTGTGGTGTATGTTCTGGGAAGTACTGCATTATGGCCCTTAGTGCTGGAAATAGGCCCATTTATAATGACCTAGGCCAACTTACAGCTCTACACCAAAATCTCCGTAACAGATTTAGTGTAAAGCTACCTTTGCCTTTGTGTCTAGGTATCACACATGATAAAGACCTCTTGCCTGGCCCAGCCTCTTTCTGCAGACAGTAGCGTCCTAGACTGTAGTGCTAGAAGCCACGAGGCAGCCTGTGGTTCAGATACCTACTCAGTTGACCTGAAATACGCTGGGTATGCATGTGCCCAAGATACTGTCAAGCTGGAGGTCTGGGGGAGGGGAAATGCAGCATGACCAAAGCCTATTACAAGGTGTTTTTCTCGTTCTCTTTGTCGTGCATGCACTCTCTATCATGAATTTACAAATAAGCACACAAAATATACCTTACCCAGGAGCCAGCAGGTGGTGTGGTTAAGGTACTGAGTTCCCACATAGCTGACTGCAGTTCAAGTCCCAGATCTGGCAGCTGGCTTTCTCAACTGCCCTCTCTCTCTCTTGCTCTCTGTCTCTCTCTGGTGAGCACACATACCATAGCAAATTAAAATAATAATAATAATAAATTAAAATAAATAAACTTTTTTAGAGAGGTTTTTTACTATAGGGCACGTGCGCTCACCAGAAAGTCAGAGAGAGACAAAGAGACAGAAAGCAAAAAATCACCTCCCAGGAGGGATGGCCATGCCATAATCCCTTCTCCTCCATTCTCCTCTTGGGATCTTGGGCATTCATGCACACGCACCTAGCGTGAGTTCAAGCAATGGATCCAGGACTTGAACCGTGGTCAACTTCATGGGAGTCCAGCAACACAGCCATTATGCCAACTGCTGGTCCCAAAATTAAATAAATTTGTTATAAAAATATGTCTTGCCTGAATTGTGTGTGTGTGTGTGTGTGTGTGTGCTCTGTGTAAGATCATTGATCACCATGTTAACTAGTTAGACAATAACACATTAAAACATTCTATCTTGATTAAGTCTTAAAACCTTTTAGAAACACACTAACATCTTACCTGGCTTTCTCTCTATTTCTACTCTTTCTTCGATCTTATCTTACTTGGTGACTCTACTTGCAAAACAGAAATGGGGAGAAGCATAGTAGCCATTAATTTAAGTTCTTACTACACGGGTGTGGGGCAGAATAAGGGTAACATAACTTTTCATCTTAGCAATAAGAGACTTTCTGGACTTGATCTATAGATTACCCGTAGTACCACCTGAGCCTTTTCCCCCCCTTTCTTTGGTGATATTTTTTTGGAATGTTCCCTTTCCCTGAGCAAGCCACTTGTTAGGCCTAATCAGCAGTGTGCTTTGAGATACTGATCCTACATTTACAAGCCATCCTTCCATGAATCTCGAGAGCCCTTAATGTCTGCCTCCTCCATTCCTCTGTAACAGCTGCTGAACTGGCCTGGTGTAGAATGTCATTGAGCCTGGTTGTATCTGGGAAGACAGCAAGACTCAGGTCAGCTGTCTGCCTTAGGGGAGTGTCCTGGTCTAAATCTGACTCTGCTATATCATTCTGAGACCAGCCTCTTTACTCCTTAGAAGAACTATTAAAACCCAGCTAATGTTTTTAACTCTTATCTCCTTCACCCCTCTATTCACCTTCTGAAATGGAAGGGATAAAAATATCTAGGCTTTATTTTCTTTCACTCACCTATAAATAAAGGCTTTTAGGTTTTCAGTGGTCTGCTTCAGCAGACTTGTGATGTTTTATATCCAAAAACAGCCTAGTTGAATGTGGTTTCTGTCACTGCTATTAATATTCCTTGGAAAGCACTTTAGATGGGCATAGAGGATTTTGTGTAAAAACAGTTGCCAGGAATTTACTATCCACATTCTGTTACCACCCTTTCATAGAGGCCTGAGAAAAACTATTTAGGCCAGTAGCCTTGATATGGTAGAACTGAACTTGGGCTTCATGGCTGGTAGTGACCGCTCCTGCTTCTGGGGATAAGGGTATGAATTTCAGTTACCAGTTTTATTGGCCTATAGTAGAAAAGGGCACATACCACTATAGACAGGAGCATTTGGGGACAAGTCCAACCAAATCACAGATGAGTTTCCCTTTAGAGATGGAGAAGCTGAACACATTTAGCAATCCCGTTTGCTCCTTCTCTTGATTCCTGTAGCTATTAAGTTCAGGAAATTATCAGTAACTAAAAGGAAGCCATAGAAGATATGTTTATACCATTTATGTAAGTTTAAAAGTTAGCATAACAGGCCAGCAAGTGGTGTGGTGATTAAGGCCTTAGATCCCACATGGCTGACTCCATAGATCAAATCCTAGACCCAGCAGCTTGAAAAACACATGGGTGTGTGTACACATGCACTCAAAATCCCAAGAGGAGAATGGAGGAGAAGGGATTGCAGTGTGACTGTTTCTCCTTGGGGGGTGGGGAGGTGGGGGGAGATGATCTCCTCTCTCTGTCTCTGTCTCTCTCTCTCTCTCTCTGGCGAGTTTATGTGCCCTATTGCAAATAAAAAACTAAGTTTAACAACACCATATATTGTTTATAGATTACACATATGATGTGAAAATAAAAACAGGTATTGGAGTAATGAACACCTAATGCAGGAGAGTGGTCACCTCTGGGAAGGAAGGGAATGTATGCTGAGAGTTCCACAGGAGCTCCTAGTGAATCTGTAAGGCTTTACTTCTGAAGGTGTGGGGTAAGAAAAGAGGTGCTCATACCATTAGTCTCTTTACCTTGTTATATGCTTGAAATATTAAATAATAAAAATAAGATTCATAGACTTTTGCACAGCTTTTAAAGGCTAAGTCCTGCCTTGGCTCATTTTTCTTACAGCCCAATGTCTAAACCATAAGTGCCCTGTTGTAGCGGAAACATATCAAGCAGTTCTAGGCAATAAGAGATCATTGAAACAACACTGTCAGTGTGGTGTGTTACCCAGGGTAGTGTCATTAAATTGCATTAACTACCAAAGGGCATCCAGTTTGGCTTCTCATTGCCTAGCCAGGGCATTTCAGGCAGTAACTTACCAGGGAGCATTGGACGGGAATGTGTACTTACAATTTGTCAAATATATACCTTAAGTATTAAAACATCTCATTGTTAAGTGCTATTGAAGGCTCTAAAGTCTTTAATATGTTCCGTGATTGATTATGGCATGTTAATCTTGACCAGGAAGTAGTGTGCATTAGCACTGTAAGGATGTAAACGATGAAACTACATGTGCCATGATCCCCCAGCCCTCCAGCCCTACACACACAAATCATTCCAGAAAATGCCTTATTTGGACAATTCTAGAGTAAATTTTCAGGCATGATGTTTTCATCATAAGTAATAACTAGTAATAACTATGTCCTTGTGAAATGCAAAGGGAAAGACCAGTGGATGGCATAATGGTTATGTTGCTGGACTCCCATGTAGTCAATCGTGGTTCAAGTCTTGAACCCCGCAACCTAAAACTCGTGCTAGAAACATGTGCATGCACACCCAAATTCCCGAAAGGAGAATGGAGGAGAAGGGATTGCAGTGTGGCCATTCTACTCCCCGCCCCAGGGAGTAATTTTTAGCTTTCTGTCTCTCTGGTGAACACATGCACCCTATAGCAAAAATTCTCTCTCTCAAAAGAAAAAAAAAAGAAATGGAAAGGAAAACAAAATTTCTAAAAATAAAGTTGTAATGGTTTAAGGTGATGTAGATTATAGTTTCTAAATCTTTGTGCTATAGACATTTTAGACCAGGTAATTCTTTGTGTTGGGGAATGGTCCAGTTCATTGTCAAATGTTTAACAGTTTATAATCCCCAGCCTCTCTTCCCATTCTTCTAGATATCTCAACCAAAAGTGTTTCAGTTAATTGCCTGTAAGAGGCAAAAATCTCACTAGTCTAGAGAATTTGGCATCTGCATGCTGCATAATACTCAGAAAGTTTGGAGGAAAAAAATATAAAATATCCTTGAAATACATATAGCTGAGGGGCCAGCAGGTGGTGTTGAAGTGCTGGACTCCCGCATGGCCAACCATAGTTCGAGCCCTGGACCTGGTTCCTTTCTCACTCTCCTTTTCTTTCTCTTTCTGTCTCTCTTTGGTCAGATTGGAAAATAATAATAATAAATAGAATTGTTTATTTTAATAACTGTGGGCTTGAGGTACATTTTTAATTGGTGTGGGATTTGCATACAACTCAGTTATTAGGTGCAAATTGTTGGGCCAGCAGATGTCTTGGTGGTTAAGGCAGTGGACTCCCACATTGCTGACCTCGGTTCAAGTTCCAGACCTGGTGACTTGCTTTCTTACTTTCCCTCTCTCTCTTTCTCTCTGCTGAGTGCATGCCCCCTATAGCAAATTAAAAAAAAAATTAATAATAATGATTAATAAAATAAATAATTCTTTAAAATAAAAAGAAAAGAAACACGGGGGCCGATGGTGGTACACCGCTAGAGCTGACACTCTATAAAGCACACCCACCTGCGGAAGTTGCTGGTTCAGGTCCGTAGATTTACCTGAGCTTGTGGAGCAAGGGTGTGCCCCAACTGGGTCAGCTGAGCCAAGGTGGATTGCGGCACCAAGACCGTATCAAGGATGAGCTCACGTGCATGTTCTCTCTCTTGTGTAGAAAAATGAATATACTTTTAAAAAGAAAGATGGGTACTGACTCATTTCAGGTAAAATATACTTTAAGGCAAAAGATATTATTAGAGATAAAGAATTAACATTATTAGGGAGTCTGACCCTGTGACCTCATGGTAAGGGAGCTATTTCCAATTTGGCCAACCCCATAGTTCGAGTCCTGGAGTCGGTGGCTTGAGAAACATGACAGGCATATGTGCGTGCATGGCCAAAGTCCCAGCAGTGTGGAGAAATGAAGAGAAGGGATTGCAGTGTGGCCACGGCCCATTGCAGGTTGGGGACAGTGCTTTCTTCCTCTCCCTCGCTGTCTGTCTCTCGGACAAACAGATTTGCCCTCTGGCAATCAATAAAATTATGAGTGATAAAGAAGAATGTTAAATATTAGAGATAAACTTGTTGCGTTTAACGACAGCTACGCAATACCGAGGAAGAAAACTGACATAATTGCAGGCAGAAATCAGCAAATCCACAATTATGATCAGTAATTTTATGATGTTTGTCAATAAACTACAGATTAATCAGAGAAAATGTTACATCACGTTAACACAATGAAGACACTTGTAGAACCTCTCCACCCCGTTATAGAATACTTACATCATTCAAGCCCTCACAGAACATTGACAGAAGTTCAAAATGTCCTAAGAGCTAAACTAGCTTCTCAATAAAATTAAAAAACTGAGAACAGAAAGATCTTGTTCTCTGTCCCAATCCAGTTAGATTGAAGATTAGTGACAAAATATCCCTCGTTTGTGTTTCAAAATTAAGCTTCCTTTCCCCATACATACCATCACTTCTTATTTAAATGTGCTCATGTAGACTTAATGTTTTTAGATTAGCAGTTGATGCCATCATGAGTTTTATAAAATAGCGGGTCGTCCTATTTAATACCAGCCAAAGATGTCAGTTGTAGCCCTTCATAGCTGTTTCCCTGCCATGTGACAATAATAGCCTACTTCTCAGGGGAATGAATATAAGTCATTAGATATCCACCTGTTCTTATTTCTGGATGTATTTAAGCATCTAGGATGTACATTTCCATTAAGCTCAGCTACAGATATAACAAAATGGCTTGACCGCAGTTAGCAGTAAATTAAAGGTAGCTCAATTCACAGACATCTGTTTGATAAATTGCTTATTTTTGTTGTTAAAATAGAATTACAAGAATTACAAATTTAATAACGGGAAGTGTCTAGAGATAACCCTGTGGCCTAGGGCCCACATCACTAACTGTGTGGTTTAAGTCCCAGACCAAGTGGCTTAAAACACATTGGGTGCATGTGCATGCATGCCTAAAATCTTGACAGGGTGGAGAAATGGAGAAGGGATTCCAGGATTACCACAGTCCATTGGGTAGAGCTTTCTCCCTTTCTCTTTCTCTCTGTTTCTGTCTCTCTGGTGAGCATGCATATCCTCTTGTAAAAAAATTTTTTTTTAAAGGGAAGTTTCTGGCCTCATTGAGTACATTACTATGTGTAAGACACAAATCTAGATAGGAAGATAAATGGGGTGTATGCAAATCACTGTTCTTTCCTTAAGACATTTATGATTTATCTCATCTCAGATTTCAAATTATAATACTTATTTCAACATGAAGTGTTCTGAGGGAAAAGTCTACATATAAGCCTGCAAAGAAAACCTCTGAAGTTGCCTTAAATATTTCATTGCTACTTTTTGTTTGAACTAAAGTGAGATCCTTAAAAAATAGTAAGAAATAATATTTTTAGTTTTCGGGTTTTTTTTTTTTCTTTAAATTGGATTATAGATTTTAATCACTTGGGCAAGAATGTAGGGGATATTGAGAACATAATTTGTGTTTGTAAGAGAGATTAGTGTGGGCACATTTTTTTTTTTTTTTGAGAGGTTTTTTCGCTATAGGGCGCTTGCGCTCGCCAGACAGACAGGCAGAGACAGAGAGACAGAAAGCAAGAAATCACCCCCCAGGTGGGATGGTCACACTGCAATCCCTTCTCCTCCATTCTCCTCTCGGGATCTTGGGCACGTACGCACACACGCCCAGCGTGAGTTTTAAGCCACCAGGTCTGGGACGCAAACCGCAGTTGACTACATGGGAGTCCAGCAACATAGCCATTACGCTAACTGCTGGTTCCCGGTGTGGGCACATTTTTAATTGTTAATTAACATTAACCTCTGTATGCTTACAAGGACCAAAGGGAATATATTGACTGAATCTCTGTACAGAGGAAAGTTTACATTGAACCACCAAGGTCAGTACCTGGTCATGCCACCGTATGTCCCGCACATGTTGGTTTTCTTCCAGATATAAAGAGAGAAATAGGAAAACTCGAATGCAGAGACACTTAACAATTGTGGCATTATCCAAGAAAAATGGGAGAGAAATGCTGCTTTGACGAATCGAGATAAGCTATAAATTTGAAAAAATGTACAAAATAGGCCACACATTGGCTGATGTATACTGATACACATTCCTGCCTGAGTCATTTCAGCTTTTGGTCCTGTTCTGTCTTTCTGTGTTCTAAGTGATGTATCCAGTTCTTACTTGGAATGCCTTACAGCCCAAAATTTCTTGTCCAGATTCTCTGCAAGATTCTATAAGGCAGATTACTTTTTTCTCTCCTCCCCCCTCCTTCTTTCCCTTCTAGTCCCCTCCCCTCCTTTCTTTTCTCTTTCCTCTTATTTGCCAGAGGGAGTGTACACTAACCAGAGAGAGAACAGGAAAGCATCCTCGGTGGGGACTGGTCACCTGCAGTCCCTTCTCCTCCGTTTCACCTTTTGGGATTTAGGGCATGCACGCACAAGGCACCCAGCATGTTTCTTAAGCTGCCAGTTCCAAGACTCATTCTGTGCAGTCAGCCATGTGAGATCCAGCCGCCTTAACCACCAGGCCATGGGCTGGCCCTTTACATGCAACTCTTCATACTTGTTGTCATTTTTACTTTCTTTTTAGAAAGCTTTTTGCTACAGGGTGTGTGCATTCGCCAGAGAGACAGAAAAGGATAAATCATCCCGAAGTGGGGCTAGCCACACCTCAGTCCTTTCTTCTCCATTCTTGTCTTGGGATTCTGGGCACGCGCACACACACTTGTACCCTGCATGAGTTTCAAGCATCTGGGTCCAGGACTTGCCAGCCATGTGGGAGTCCAGCAACAGAACAGCTATGCCATCTGCTGGTCCCTGCCATTCTTACTTTACTTCTCTACAAATGAACAGTCAAGCTACATGACTTCAGAGAAGTTATTTAATATCTCTGTATTTCTTTGCTATTAAATATAAACTGCATGAGCCTCACAGAGTTGTGAAGATTAAATGAGATAACTCCTAATACAGAGTAAGTATTTGGGAAATAATAGCTGTTATTATCAGATCTTAATTATCATGACCCTTACATTGTTCTTTGTATCTTCAGGTACTTAACCTGAGTTGTTCCAGAATCAATAAAATATGGTTAATATTGTTGCCTGATTTCTTGAGTCTTGCTGGAATGTATAAGATAACCTTTTCATAGTTTCCTTAAACACTTTCAATGGAGGTATTTTTGGATTTCCAAAACATTTGATTCAAAGATATCTATCTCTTTTTTTAATTGAAGGAGGGCACTTGTACTTACTGGAAAGAGAAGGAGAGGGAGAACCTTCCTCCTCCCCCAAACAGGGCATGGTCCCAACACAATTTGTCCTCCTCTGTTTCTCCATTCTGTCTGGATTTGGAGCAGGCACATAGATTCAATGTGGCTTTCAAGCACTGGGCTGGGATTCGGATGGCTTTCGGCTGTATAGTATCCAGCTCTCTTAACTGCTAGACTATGGGGCCTGCCCTCATTCAGATTTCATCTGTAAATTTTAACTTTTTTTTTTTTTTTAAAATAATGGAGATCTAATTTGTGAACTCAAATATTATTAATCAGAACTTTAGTATTAAAGATATTCACTGTGTTAACACACTGCTAAATTAATTCATTTTTGTGGACTTCTTATCATCTCTCTCTCGTTCATTGAAGGTTATCCTGATATTGAAAGGTAGACTGTTAAAGGTTATTGTTTTAGGGGCTAGCAGGTAGCATGGTGGGACACTGGACTCCTACATGATTATCTGTGGTTCGAGTCTTGGACCTGGTGACTTTCTTTCTTTCTCTTTCTCTCTGGTCAAACTTTTAAAATAATAACAACAATAATAAATTAAATATTCTTAAAAAAAGGTTATGGTATTATAAAACAAGAATTTGTTACCATTGCTGTTTCTTTCCACATTTCAATAGATAGTCAAAATTTAAAAATAAATGGGATATAGGAATTCAATTGAAGCACAACCCTTGTTTTTATCACTTTATATTCATCAAAAGAGCCTTATTGTTATGATCAATTGCTTTTTATAATAACTTTAAATAAAAATACATCAGCTTTAGTTAAATGTTGCTTTATCTGCTACTTTTGGAAAGAACAGATATTTATAAGTGACTTACATAATTATGTATTTATTTAATAAGCATTTATTGCACTGTGTTATTTAAGAGACATTATACTCTGGGCTAGGTCTATGGATTTGACAGGCTACATCTGACAGCTTTTGGCTAAACACAAACCTTTTTGGGTTTCCACATAATTTACAGTTAGAGAAATAAAGACTTAATTATTTTAAGAATACTTTGAAAACCACTGACTGGTGTCACTCTTCTCATCAGTTATTGATTACCACTCTTCGACTTTTGTAGAGGTCCGGCTGGAGTAAGAGCCCAAGCCCTGGATAGAGATGGAAACCTGGTAGAAGACTTTGTATTTGACGGAGGAGTTGGGGATATTGGAAACCGCGTTCTTCACGTGAGAAATGCGCCCTCCCCAGCTGCCACTTCTTCCCTTGCGATTTCTGGAATGATAGCAGATGAAGTACAACAACGATTTGGGTTATAAATAATGAAAGGATCTAGGTATCTAGATCTATGTAATCTCCACATCAGCAACAAGAATGTACTAATTGCATTCTTTTAATCTGTGAAAATGGTTTTTAAATCTCATTTCTTTAGGTCAAAGATAACCACTGAATTGTTAGAATGATGTAAGATAAAAATAATTTTTTAAAAAAGCTTAAGTCCATGCTCTTTTACTCTGTGAATATAGAGGCAAAGTACAATTGTATCTGTCCTGAATCCCTGATTGTGTCGAACTATTTTGACCAACTGTGATCTAAAAGATTTAGAGCTTTTGATTTGACTCTAAGAATTTTTAAGGAAGATGATGTGAAAACTGGAATATTCCCTTAAATAAATGTGTCCCCCCACTCCCCCCGTAGGATGTGTGTATTCACCAGAGAGAGAGAGAGAGAGAGAGAGGGAGGGAGAGAGGGAAGGAGGGAGGGAGGGAGGGAGGGAGGGAGGAAGATAGTACCCCCTAGTGGGACACGATCATGCTGCAGTCTTTTCTTCATTTCTCCGTGTTGGAATTTTATGCATGCACATGCACCCTGCATGTTTTTCAAGCCCCAGGGGTCAGGATTTGAACCATCATTGACTATGTAGGATCTGGCTCCCTTAAATGTTAGGCTACAGGACTGGGCCCAATTTTTTGGCTCTGCAATATCTAAGCTTTTTGTCTATTCTAGACATGAAAATATATTCTAGTATATTACAGGTTACAATGTTCTTTTAATTTTTTTTTTTTTTTGGAGAGGTTTTTCGCTATAGGGCACGTGCACTCGCCAGACAGACAGAGAGAGACAGAGAGACAGAAAGCGAGAAATCATCCCCCAGGGGGGATGATCACACCGCAATCCCTTCTCCTCCATTCTCCTCTGGAGATCTTGGGCACGCACACACATGCGCCTGGCGTGAGTTTTAAGCCACCGGGTCCGGGACGCGAACCATGGTCGACTACGTGGGAGCCCAGTGACATAGCCATTACGTTAACTGCTGGTTCTCAACATTCTTTTAATTTTGAAGAACAATAGAAAATCTCGCATTGGACTGGCTCTGTGGCCTGGTGGTTAAGGCAGTAAGATCTCACACAATTGACCGTATAGTTTGAGTCCTGGACCCAGTGGTTTGAGAAACATACCAGGCACATGTGTGCCCAGAATCCCTCTCCCCCAAAAGAGGGAGATATGTAGGAGAGGGATTGCAGCATGACCCATTTCCCATGGAAGGTACTTTCTTCTCTCCCTCCCGGCATCTCTGGTGAGTACATGCCCCTCCAGCACACATACAAAAAAAGTTCACATTATTTAGACCAACAGTATTTGAAAGTTTAGAAAGCAAAAAGTCTTGATTTCAAGAAAATACGTTAGCGGCTGGCAGGTGGCACAGTGAAGGAGGCTAGACTCTCACATGGCTAGACCTGGTGGCTTGTTTTCTCACCTTCCCTCCCTCCTTCCACCTCTTTCTCTCTCCCCCACTCCCTCTGGACAAATGAAAATAAGTAAGTAAATAAATAAAGTTAAATAAAAAATAATCCTTTAACATACATGACATTTTACACTTTGAAATAGTTTGGATAAGATTCTATCTTAGCTATAATATTTTTAAGAAATAAGTTGGTGAAGCTCAAAGCCTTTATTAGTCCTAGTTTCTTTATAACTGGTGCTGCGTGGTCTCATTGCTTAATCTAAACAACAGTACGCTATGATTGGTTGTTGCCTACTCATCAATCTTCTGTGGCTGAGAAACTAAAAGAACTTAGGACTGGTAGGTTTTTATAAGAGCAGTTTTAAAATGCTGACACTGATGTATAGCACTCTGTAATAAAAAATCATTTACTTCTTACTATGTCTGCTCTTTAGTCACACTTAAGGTTCCCAAAATGTTGGCTAAGATTGTTAATGATTCATACCTACTTGGCCTTTCAAGGCTCCTTTAAACTTTTATGACAGTATGTCTCCATTTTAAGTAAATATCTAACTTTGAGGCATTCACTTTTGTAAACCGCAAAAGTGCCTTACCTTCATGTGTACTTCATGAGTATTTTAACTTGGTGCCAGTGACATACTGTATACTGTGTATTTCTGTGTGGTATCTGTTGAAATTTTACTTACAATTTAGACGGTTGGGAGATAGAACTGTAAATGAAAATGTGACATTGTGACCGAGAAGACTTTTCTAATTGAACCACGGTGAGTAGAGATGTTTTCATTCATTCTCTCACAAGTGATTTCTCAGGATTAATCTTCTACTCTTCCTTGTTTTTTTTTTTTTTTTTCCTTCAAAGCTGTGTGATGGATGAGTAAGAAGGATGTGCATTTTGGGTGATTGGAAAATTTTTTCCTGCTTTCTTCCTTTTCCCTTCACTACAAGCCTTGGTGATTACATTGATTGAGCTACCTCATCCATTAATTTGTAAGGCGACACATCATCAGCTTATGTTCAAGAAGTCCTGTATCCCATGTAAATAGACTAGGCGGTTATTAGAATAGCTTACTGACAGCATGCAGGGATCGTTCACAGGAGAAACAAGTCCTACTTATTCTCCATAACAACTCATTCCTGCAAAAAAGGCAATACATGGTATTTTGCTGTTCTACAATATTACAAGATTGCTAACAGAGGGAAAATATTGTCATCCTCTATTTCAACAACAGTAAGCTTGCATATACACTAAACTACAAATGACAAAATATAAGAATAGATGTCCTAATCGAAACAATCCTCATTCCATTTGGGTCCGTCCTGGATCCCAAAAAATACAAGTGAAAAATTTGTTAAAAGTGTTTTGAATGTGTAAGTTAATGTTTGTAAAAACATTTGATATTTATATCATTAGGGTTTTGCTGTTTAATACTGATATAATATTTGAATGTTTTGTGTATTTCTGAGAGAAAAATGTATATTAATATTAAAATATTTTAATGAGTTCTGGTGTTACAGAGGACTTATTTTTTAGTTTCACTAGGAGAAAAAAAAACAAAAACCTTGGGCCAGCAGGTGCCATGGAGGTTAAGACAGCCGGATTCCACATAGCCACCTACACAGTTGAATCCCAGAAATGGCCACTTGATCACGCTGGACACATATGCATGCGTGCCCAAAATCCTGAGAGGAGAATGGAAGAGGAGACTGTAGCCTGGCCATACCTCCTGGGGGTGATTTCTCACTTTCCCACATTCTCTGTCTCTCTCCAGTGAGCACACGTGTCCTATAGCAAACCTAAAAACAAAACAAAACAAAACATTTACTCAAGTTAATTTTCTGTGTGTAGAACATAAGCTGAGTTGAGATAGCAGCCAATCTTTTAACATTTTTACACTTGTATATCATATAAAAGTGAGGTAGACTGGTTGAAATTACAATAAAAAGTTGAGCATTTTAGGTTTTAGCTTCAGAGAGTTTAGTTCCTGAAGAACTTAGTGCACCGACAAGTACATTTTTGGTGTTTCTGGTTATGTAACTTAACACTTTTATCCGTACATATATACATAGATCAAGGACCTTCCGTTGATCCTCTCAGAGTTGCTTTTACTGCTGGCAGAGTTCCCTTTCCCCTGAGGCCATTTGGAAATCTGCCTATACTAGCCTGCGGGATAAACTCTGACAACTTTCTCCCAAGGGTGCTGGTGAGACGTACGTTCTGCCAGGCCCTGGCATATGGGAGTTCGTCGGGCCTGCTCTTGGAGGCTGTCCCCCGCCGATGGCAATGCCGGTGGGCTCTCCCTGTGACCACAGGGGAGATGGTGTCTAGTATTGTTTGAGGGCTGGCTCTGCCCTCTTGGGCCCTTGATCTGTATCTGGGCTCCTTGGTCAGATGATTCCTCATCATTCTGAGTGGGCACTATTATCTACAGATCTTGTAAACATTTTTTTTTTGTTTTTTTTTTTTTTTTTGGAGAGGTTTTTACTATAGGGCGCGTGCCCTCACCAGAGAGACAGAAAGCGAGAAATCACCCCCTCGGGGAATCGCCACACCACAATCCCTTCTCCTCCATTCTCCTCTTGGGATCTTGGGCACGCACGCACACGCGCCCGGTGTGAGTTCAAGCCACTGGGTCCGGGACTCGAACCACGGTTGACTACATGGAAGTCCAGTGACATAGCCCTTATGCTAACTCCTGGTCCTTGTAAACTTTTTAAAATTATTTTATTTAACCTTATTATCATCATGATTATTATTTTCCAGTTTGATCAGAGAGAGAGAGAGGAAGTGAGAAAGCAAGCCACCAGGTCTGAGACTTGAACCGTGGTCGGCCATGTGGGAGTCCAGCGCCTTTAACCATCATGCCACTTGCCAGCCCCCCTTGTAAACATTTTTGAGGAGCAATTTTGAAGTCAGTTGCTAAGCTTTTCTAAAAACTCACAGGGAGTTTTTGAAATCTCTTCATCAGGATAGAAGATGGAAGGGTGAGCGTAAGGACAGAGTCAAGTGGTTGGAAAGAGAAAGATGTCTAGAGAGGTTTTCAAATAGTCTTTACTCAAGAGTTTAAGAATGGGGGACCAGCAGTTAGCATAATGGCTATGTCGCTGGACTCCCACATAGTCGACTGCAGTTCAAGTCCTGGACCTGGTGGCTTGAACTCATGCCGGGCTCGTGTGCGTTCATGCCCAAGATCCTGAGAGGAGAATGGAGAAGGGATTGCAGCGTGGCCATCCCCCTTGCGGGGTGATTTCTCGCTTTCTGTCTCTTGTCTCTCTCTGTCTGGCAAGTGCATGCGCCCTATAGCAAAAACCTCTCCAAAAAAAACCCCAAGAGTTTAAGAATGGAATAAAATTTCAGAGCCCTTGGGCTGGGCCCATAGTCTTGTGGTTAAGAGAGCTGGTCCCACATGGCTGACCCTTGTTGCAACTTGAAAAACATACCAGGTACTATATGTTCATACCCCAGATTCTGACAGGATGGAGAAAAGGAGGAGAAGGGGTTGCAGTGTGGCCATATCCCCCCTGGTGGGTGCTTTCTCCATCTCGTTATCTCTGGTGAGTACACATGCCCTCTGGCAATTAAAAAAAAAAAAAAGAAAGAAAAGCCAGCGCATGTTATAATAGTTATGGTGCCTAGATCCCACATAGCCAGTGGCAAGATTCAAGACCAAGACCTGGCAGCTTAAGAAACACTGGGTGTGTGTATGTTGGTGCCCAAAATCCTAAAAGAAGGCAGAAATGAAGAAGGGACCATTCTTGGAGGGAGAAGGGTGCTACTTTCTCACTTTTCTTCCCTCCTTCTCTCTCTTTCTCTCCAGGGAGTATAAGCAACCTTTGGCATGCATGCATAAATAAATAAATAAGTAAATAAATATCACAAAGCCCTGAAGAGAACAACTACTTTGATACCAACCAACTCTACTTTTCTAGCCTCCAATCCCAGAAAAGACTGTGCTTTTTTGTTGAGTACTATGGGGAACCAGCAGTTAGCGTAATGACTATGTCACTGGACTCCCACATAGTCGACTGCGGTTTGCGTCCCGGACCTGGTGGCTTCAGACTCACGCTGGGCGCGTGTGCATGCGTGCCCAAGATCCTGAGAGGAGAATATTGAGTACTATCATTTTCTACTAAGGGAAGGGTCTCAATTCAAAGTTACCTTACTTTAAGTTTCCTTTGCCTCTTGGATAGATGAGAAATTTTCCATTTCAGATGTGGCAAGAGAGATGTGTAATGGCATGCCTTGGGTTGTCCAGGG